AGGCAAAGACTGAAATTCTCAGGCCAGAAACAGGAAACTGAGGCACAGAACATACCCTTGTCTCTAGTCAAATAATGAAGCAGTAGCAACTTGGGGATGGGAATGCTGATAGCCCAACCCCACGTTCTCCTCCTGACCATTAGATGGCTGAGCTGATTACAAACCAGGTACAGACAAGCTTATCCCCTCTTAAAATGATCCTGCAAGGAAATTCTCTGTAGTGTTTAACCAGTAAGCACTTTTATTGTTGATTTTGAATCCATTAAGACTACATTATGTTGGATTACAAGACGTTGGCTACATCTCCCACATTTGCATGCAGGCATTACATTTGCAAGGTTTTCTCAGAAAAATGGAGCAGGCGCATAAAATGCATAAAGGTTATATGATTATAACATGGAAGCAGCACGTCAGTTACAGAAATTTGTACCACATGTACCAGTAACAAACCCACATCCCCATGTAAAACTTTGTCCCTCAAAAATCCAACTGCTTCCTCTGTCCCTCATCTCCATGCCCCGGCTGTCTATCAGCCCACATCCCCACTGTTTCTGAAAACACACATCTTTTTCTAAAAAAAGTTTAGTACAGTACATTTTTTCCCTTAAAAACTAAAACATTTCTCCTTCACTACCCCCTCCCCCCCCAAATGAAGAATCTATCATAATCTACACGTCTGTTCAAGCACTGTTATATGTTAGGAATCTCTATTGCATTATTCAAAAGTATCAGATCAGTAACAAACTTCTAAAACTAGGATGACCCAAAAATTCCCCTTCCCCCCAAACTAGAGAATTGAAAATGCTATACTGCATTATCACACTTGCATGCATGTATCCTGAGCCACCTGTATTTATTCACCTTAAGCCCCTTTTAATAAATAACTGTCCAGCAGTAACATCCAGAAGTGTGCTGTCTCCTCCAAATTAAACTCTATATTTACAGAAGTAGGGCTGTTTTCTCAGTGAAATGTGTTTTTTTAAAAAACAAAACAAAATAACAACAATAAAAACAGCAAACGATTAAAGAGAGAAAGCATATTACTGATCATGTTGTCTAAAGACCAACAGGAGTAAAAAAGCATTAGGAGCACCAGGTGCACATGCATTTGAACTGGTACAGTTCATGAAATAATGTCATTCATTGTTATGCTCGCTCATTCAGACGAGGAGCTGATTCTTTTCCTCTCTTTTTTTTTCTTTTTACATTTAGGACCGTCTGCTCTGCAGGCTACTCCCACAGATGGCAATACATGCACTGAGGTTGAAAGATGGCCATAAATATGCTTTGATCAATGTGGTCCTGTATCAGCTTTAAACACATGGGGTTTCCCTCCCTGCTGCTTTGCACCTTGCGTCATTTCACATCTGTGCTAAGTGTGAGCCAAAGGTCCCCCAAATCCACATTTTTCTCTTGGATTTGGGGAAGCATTAGATACTCACTTTTTGCAAGTTTCAAATGATGCTATATGCTGGAAAATACAGGGGAATCATCCCACATGAGAACATTCCTTAGCAGTGTAACTACTGTAATCACAACTGACATATAAGCATACCAAAACAAACATTGAAATATCAAGCCAGTTAGAGGGATTTTGTCCCTTCATTGATTTTGAGCCAGCTCTCAGCTGACAGATGCCAGTATTACTACCTTGATTTCAGTTGGCCTATGTCGATTTACACCAAGTAGGGATCAAGCTCAACAGATGGTTAAAATAGCAACCAGTTTCTCCTACTGCATTGTTATAATGCCTGAGATCACTACAAACGGGTTCATTTCTACACAACCAAAAGGCCTTTCTGTAGCCAGTGCAGCATATTCACTGCCCCCACCTTTGCAAAGGCAATTCAGTTCAGGTTCACTTTCTCTTCTTCCCGCTTTACCGACAAGCTAAACCTGCAGCGCTCCCATCACAGAAGCTGCAGCCAAAACTTGAGTTACACACCAAATGCTTAATTTTATATAGTGAAAATGCTGGGAACTCCATTTATGCTGAATCTAATTTTCAAATTCATGGTGCTTCCTGCTTTATCATATATGGATCTGATCACCTGGAAGCCCAAACCACTCCTATCCTCGCTGCACTTGCAAGTTATGCAGAAATTGTTAGTATCTGTTATCTCTGCGAGACTGGCTATTCCAGCAAAGAATAATATTCCCCTCAACTGCAAACAACAGGCATGTTGGATGTGTGATTGTGAGAAACCTTCCCTAAGCCAACACCTCCATTCTCACTGGAAGAGAGTCAAATTCTACCAACATTAACATCAATGCAAATCTGCAACAACTCTACTGACCCCTCTCAAGATCTGTAGAGGTGCAAGACAATACAAAATCTGCTCCCAGGCTTTTTCATTAGCTAAAGTTTACCCCGACCCATCAATTCAACTTCATTAGCAGATACTAATTCTGTAAGCAAGTCTTCCCTTTTATTATTACATCATTTGTGAGCTCCACCATTGTTTCAATCTCATCACTGCCTACTGATAAGAGACTTGGCATCTACAGAGCAGCGGTCTGCCCCCCTCCCACAAGCAGCTAAACCTCAAATGCCACGTTTTTCCTGGCAGTGGAATCGGTTTTATTACCCTCTGCCATTTCAATTCCTGGTTAGCATTTGTTGGCTAATTATTCTTAGACAGCCAACATGAGAGGCTGTTAGGTTCAACCGTACGTACACATTACAACTGGTCTTAAACCCAGCAAGTTTATTTCACATAGGCTTCCATACGACCAAAATAATGTCAGCCAATGATCTCTGCTTGTAAAGCACCTTCCCCCACATCCAGGTCCCTACCCCCTCACTGCAGTCACCCAGTTCCTCTCACTGGTGTCAAAAGCGGAACTTCACCAGAACTGCAGTGGAAAATTGGACATGTTTTAGCTTCACCTTTCAACTGAAAGAAACGGAGATAAGTAAGTGATGACTGTACGTCGCACTGGCTGCAAAAGGCCTTTCCATTCACAGGAGTGCTACTCTCCGACCAATTTTTGTAAAGGAAGAGAAACCAAACAAAAACCTACACGGTTCCCACACACAAGCACAGACGCACGCACACACATACACACACACTTCTCTCTCCTCCAAACAGAAATCCATTCTTATAGACCAAATTATGCAGACCCTATTCAAGTGACTAAAAAGAATGAGGACAGGGTTGAGTGCATCCCAATTCTCCTTTCTGATCACAATGAAGTCACAGGTCAGCAAAGTACTTGGGCATTAGGATGTTCCTCTTGACCTGCGGGACATTTTAATGCATGCAGAAGTGCTTTGCTGGCTCGGGCCTAAATTAGGAACAGCTCCAAGGCCAGCTGGCACCCATGAGTGTGATTCCACTATCTGCACCAATATACATGAGGTAAGAGCATAACTCAAGAGAGCAGAGCAGTGCAAGAGGAGAAAGAGGCTCTGTGGTTCTTCTGAGTTTATCTTTGACAGCCTCAGCTGCATACACACGGCGTGTCACAGTGATCAGCATAGACCGATGAGAGCTTGGTATGGTGTTCTGCAAGTGGGACTTCCACTGGAAACAGTAAGCCTGATTTCTATTTGTACCAGGGCAACTTTATATGCCTGTAACAACTGCATGAAGAGGCCTTAAATCTGGAGTAATTGCACTATACAGTTAGTGTTTTATCTTGGACTTATGTGCCAATAACTACTATGGTGTGCTACACACCCACACCTACGCACAAATGGAGAGATAAGTATATGCTGTGTCATAATGCAACATAAACATTATTTCTGCAACTATCCTAATAACACAGCCAGTGCCAAAGCGAACCGGCATAAGGATTTGCAGCCACCCTCTCCAATACAATATGGTAAGTAGTGGTGGAGAAAAAGCAAGCTCAGGTGTTATTTTGATTCACTAGGGAATGATCAGGGCACAACCCACTCAGGTATTGCTTAGTGAACACTATTCATGGGCTGTCCCACAGTCCCGCGTCATAAATTCCCACCTCTGTGTGGGTGCTCACATCATTTTCTGATGACACACAGAATCGAGGTCATGGGCGAGCAGTCACAATGTTTGGGAAATCCTCTAGACAAATATTATATAAAACAGGAATAAAAGCCTATACTAACATATCACGCCATGCCTCTCAATCACAGGTAGACTGCAAGGTTATATATTAGTGAGATCTGGTCTGTCTAAAGCAAGAGCTACTCATAGAGGAATTAATGTTTGAATCACAAGAGGATCTAATTCTGCTTGGCAGTAAGATCAAAAGGAAATTTATCTAATTAAATAGCAATGGAATCAGTCCCTCAATGCTGCTGATATAAATAACACATGCTGTTTGCATATTACAACATTCATGCTCGAATTGCATGTATATTTACTCCACTTCGGACTGTGTTTTCCATAAATGAAAACTAAACACCTAACCACAATGTTTTTCTCAAAATTCCTCTGAACTTTGGACAAATCTGAACACAGGTCTTGTTCAAGGTTTGGATTTCTAGAACCAATAGCTGGCCTTCAGTGGCTATCCTATGCAACCAAGTCTAAACGTATGCGGAGATGGCAGGCTCAAAACTGACTTTCTCAGGAGAAAAGGATACCTCTCTTCTATACTAGATTACTGTTGCTAGATTATTGGCACATAGTCTCGTCTTACCTCATTATTGTTATAACCCTCTTATAAACTTTAATGGAAATTCCACCTGCAGAACCAAAGGCAGAAAGTTATCTTTGCAATTCTTGTTCCATATTAACATCTGGATGCAGTACCATTGGGGAAAAGAAAGCAAATTCCTCAATGAACTATGTTTAACCAACTTGCAGGTGGCAGCTATCAAAAAAACTGATGCACATGTACCGGCTAAAGTTATTAATGAATGATCTGACATACCAAGTCAGACAAATGTCATATGTAAATAGATCTTCAAATGTATACATACAAAAGCTGCTACTGTATCTAGATGATCATTTTGGTTTGTTTCTATACCCCATAGCTCTGAATCTATCCACTGAATGTTTACTCAGCACGTGTGGTATAAATATATTCATACACTAAAATTGACACTTGGCAATTTTTCTTTTTTTTTTTTCTTTCTTCTTTTTTTGCTGACCAGCAACAAATTCTGATATCTTTAACTGTAAACCAATACTCAATAAATATGCTGTGTTCAGCAAAGAGACATGTTTTGTCAATCAGGGTTTTGCTGCACTCTAAGCCATGGGCTGCGGGGGTGGGCGCGAAGGAGGAGGTCCAGGAGGGGCTCGGGATGGAGGTGGTCCAGGAGGTGGCTGCCTGGAAGGGGGCTGAAGAGACACAGGAGGAGAAGAATTCCTTGGAGCATTGTTGAGAGGAACATCATCGCGCCGCGGCAGCTTTGGCGGTGGGCTGTAAGGGGCAGAGGTTCCATCTGATTTCACCCGAGTGAAGTTTATGCATCTTCCCTAGAAGTAAAGAAAAATTCGTTACTCATCAAAAGCAGGTGTTTTAACTCAGCAGCAGCTAGCTAAAGGGAGGACAAGCAGAGGGCCCAGGCCGCACTTAGAGATTTTCATCCAGTATCATTCACTGCATCCTAGACATGATATTCAGACCATGCTGTACTGAAGGTCAGCACTAGAAACCACTGCTTTCTTTGGGTTTCAGATCTCCTGCCTACAGACGATAGCCTAGGACTGGTTTAAACCAAAATGGACCCCAGTGTGACTTTGCTCACACGTACCCTCTGCTCTGCTACTAGAGCTATGCAGAACATGCCTAAAGCCACAGCTCCACCAAAGTCATGCCTGCCTTGGTGAGATCCCTGACTGAGAAAGCTGTGCTTGAAAAAAACTCATAGCAGACAGGATTATACCAGAGGAACAACCTTAGCAAAGACACCATCTGTAGCTTTCTTTTTCACTGTGATGCTAGCCTAGCTGGTGTCCATGCTTTGAACACCACAGTGGGATAGTGCATCCGTCTTCTGTGCTCCAAATGTAGATGCGGCTTCCCTCACAAACACCGACAAGGTTTGGGACTTGCACAAAGGGCTCTCCAATGAATGTGTTTCCAGAATGGATGTGGGACGCAGGCAGGCAGGACGTGATGGAAGAACTGTGGATGGAGATTTTAAAACAGGAGTAGCTTGGGTTTGAAAAAACAGCAAGCATTGGGGATGTCCTAGTCTGCTAGGGGCTAAATGCAAATACATCAGGGTTTCCTTTAGCCAGAACAAAGCTTTGCATAGGTTCCCACTAACCAAGTTCCAGGCAGGAAGAGAGACAGACAGACCCCAAAGACCATCTAGCCTTCCCTGTGAGGAGCAGCCAGAGGCTCCTGCTCACTTCAAAACCTACATGGCAACCTCAGTCAGACACCAAGATCTCTGCTGTCTGCTGTACTTGTTCCTCCCCACAGCCTGCCCCACTATTTCTGCAGAGGCCTCATGAAATCCTGCAGACACAACGTTGCGTGAGGAGATGCAACACTTGTCATCACTGTCTCCACCTCCTCACCTAGGGAGGTGGGAGGAGATGCTTATGCAAGAATCCAGCTGCCACAAGCTTGACAGAAGCCTGCGCTTGGAATTCAAAAAGGCCGCTCATCGTCATGTAGAAAGACTGGAGACAAAGATTGCCTCAAAATGCAGGAGTGACACTGCCAACAGCCCATTTACAGGAGCTGGGATGTGGTTTCCAAATAAGTAACTGTGGGCTGGAAAGTACCCTTCCCATCAGTGATGAACTCCATTTGCCAGCACCTTTTCCCTTCCGCAGCAGGCTTCTTTTGTTCCATGTAGCAATCATCCTAATGAAAATAACCTCTACAGTTTAACATGGAGGGGCATGCTACCTGTTTCTCTCTTTCCAAGGCAAACACTAGCTGGGTGAAAAGGAAAAAAACTGCTTGGTTTGTTTAGAAAATATCTGCCCCAGAAGGCATCTTCCCTCCATTGTTTTGAAAGACCCACAGAGCCACAATGCCCGGCCAGAGGTTTAGGCTGTACGCTGAAAATCAACAAACCAAATTCAGCTCAAGGTTATGCCAACATCCCCCAAGCAAAATTCAGGAGAAAGACTCCAGATTTATTCTCAGAGCTAAGCAGCTGTAGATCACGATCTCCACAGCTACCAATGGCTGTGATAACAGGGGAATACAAGAACCCACACCAGCGACAGATGACTGCTAGGTCAGTGCTGCCTGGCATGAGGAAACTCTGAAGGTGTTTAGGGAATAGGCTGAGTTTCTGTGGCAACCCCACAAATCACAGTTTCCCCTGGAATCCAGGCAAAAGCCATGACAGCTGAACCACATGTATTCTATTAAGTGACTTCCAACACCTGCACCTTCGTTCATGAAAACTATCCCTTTAAAAAGAAGGGAATCACTTAAGTCTATTGCTTCTCTAAAGAAAGTCAAGCAGAGTATCAAGAGAAGCTTGTGTAAGCTCCAGAGAGCTCAGAAAATGATTCAACAAATGTACCAACGCCCAAAGCGTACCACCCTACCACTTACTTGGATTGGATGGCTCAGGGCTTCAAGGGCTCAGCTGCAGCCAAGAGTTGTTTGAATGGGTGTGTTGTTGCCTGTACATGAGACATACTCAGTAGTTCTCAGTCCCAGCTTTCACCATCACAAATTCACCACTACACTTAAACAACAGCCTCAATAAGTAGGATAAAATCCCCTCTCTAAAAAAAGCAGGCTTGTTACAGCAGACTTTGGTTATGAACCAGGTTCAAGGCAATACTATTCTAGGGCCAGAGCTTCTGCATGGAAGTATCAAAGGGCAAAAGCCAAGGTCTTGGTTACTTCTGCACCAAAGATAAACCATTGGATCAAAAAAACCCAAATCAGTGCTTTGTTCTACTCCACCAGAGAACTGAAGTCCTCACCAGCGCTGCAGCAAGCAGCCATCCTTGTCAGCTTACAACAGCCGTTTGTATTCTGCTGTGCTCTATTGTATTCAGAGCAGACTTGGAAATTCAGCAGTATTTACTGCTATGCAGTGAACACTACAGATATATTTGATAGCTCAGCCTTGATATTTATAAAGTTATGAATTTAGAACACCTAAATCATCACCCAGGACAGAAAAAAAAAAAAGAGAAAAAAAAGTCAGAGGTATTCAGTTGAGATGCAGCTTATGTGGAAGGAAAAAATTAAGAACAGAACCATGTCCCTCATAGTAAATGCAAAGCTGCAAACCCAACACTAGTGCTTTTGCCTACAAGCCTTTCCTACCTCTCTGTTGTGTCTCTCTCCCAAACATCAATTCCAAATATATTCATAGTCTATAATCAAAGGGGATCCCATAAATCTGTTTGCATTACTTTCACTTCAGTTAAAGTGATAGGCGACGTCAAACTGCTGCCAGTTTCTGCCACACTCACTGATTTGTCAGACAGATGGGTAATTTAAAGGCCATGCGCCGCATTGTGTCATGAAAAATACGGTTGGGTTGGGAGAGTCTGACAGATAGAGGCTTGGATGATCGATGTATGTATTGTGACACCTCCTCACAAAAGATTATTGGTGTTAGCCTACAATCTCATATATCAAAGACTTCTGGTGAATACTGGAGCAAATCCTCCTGAGCACTTCAAGCAGCCATTGATAAAATGAGGCTGAACTCTTAGCCACTGTTAGGATTAAGGGAAAGGGAGGAACAAACGATAGTAAATCGTAAGTCATAATTTGGATTTATCAAGTGTATTTCATCAAAGGATTTCTAGGTTGAAGAATTAAGCCCTCCACTCATCACAGTTTCCTAATAACAGGGTGCCACAGCTATTCTACCTAACGTGCACATCTCTCTGGGGTTAGTTTATAAAAAAAATCCATGATGTTTCTCAAATAAATATGCTAACCACAAGATTTTTACTATTCTGTGTTTGAAAGGATTAAGTAATTTCCTCTCCAGAGACACATAAAGGTTTTTAAACCATAGAGAACATGGACAGAAATCAGGTATCCTGCACATTCACCTATGCTCTCCCTGTACAGGGGATTAATGGGGATTAAGAGCCACCATCACTTTAGTAGTGTTAACAGTATGTTTTTCCCTGAAGCACAGTATACACTAAGTGTTTTAGGGAAGGTGTCAGAGTTGCAAGGTGGAGTAATACCACGGTGATCTCAGGCACAACAGCTGTCGGTAGCTGCTTTATTGTTTTCTAGGAAGCAGACGATCTGCATAAATCCAGTTCTGGCTGGTTTCAGCCCTGCTCCCAGTACAGCATCCCTCAGATGGTGCGACCCGCACCGCGTACTGTCATTCAGGCACCAACTGAAGGTCAGCAATGCGCCATATGGAGTTACGCCCTTACTTCAGCTCACATCTGCACAGTCTTCCTAATGCACAATTATTTTGCTTCCCCATATGTCCATCCACTTGTTAGGCTCTTGTTATGCTGCTTGCCAAATTGGCTTTTCAAAAAGTACAAATACTGAAGCAGCGGGATCTGCCCTTGTCCCGACTCCAGCTTTTATCCCAATGTAACAATCACATGTGCAATTCAGGCACTTTGTACTTCTAGGCAATGCCTCCTCGACCACCTAGGATGTGTTTTTGTGTGTGGTTTAAGGGGGGGGAAGGAAGGGAGGAACCTCTTGAAAGCCACCGCATCTTGTTTCTGGGCTACTTTCATCATAGTGCTCAGTACATCACTGCCCAGTGCTTGTTCCTCCAAAACCTTTAGCTACTACTCAGCAAGTTTTCAATGGAAAGGAACAACTGTTAAAAGGACCCAGGCAATTCAAAGAGTGCCATGGGCAAGTGTCTTCACCCACGATACTAAGAGCACTTCAGCAAAAAGAATTTAAAAAATCCTCCCCATCTGCCAGTAGCCACCCCTTTTCTCTGTTTACTTTAATACATGCATTGGTGTTTATTTAACAAAAATCAAATCCAGTTTCATCTCTGTGCATGCCAGAGTATTTATGTACACAAAAGTATGTCCGTTTCTTATTTTTAGCTGCATCAGTTGACCTAATAAAAGATATCCTTCCTGTTACAAATTTTGCTTGAGTTTTCATTCACTCTAGGTTTTGCTTATGGAGTCTCAGTGCTGCAATTCTGACTAGCAGAGGGGGGTATCTGACTGAGGAAGAGTTGGCTTCACTTAAATGTTTACCGAAATTTCTTGGTCTTTGACTTTGTAAGAATATAATACTTGGCTTTACATTTTAGAATGGATTAAAATAAAATCATTCCTTTAAAGTTTGAACATAGCAATCCAAAACACCGGACCACCAAATTGAAAAAATAAAGTAGCTCCCAGTCAAAAGTATTACATTTAGGATACTGAAATTTGAAATGAACATAATTTCCTTGGGCTCAAATGAGTAGTCACCTTTCTTCCCAGTTTTGTTTACGGATGTCACTGGGATGACTCTGCCAGCTTGCTATGGACATGGTTCGTCAACACGTAGCTTCACTTCCTAAATACCTATCAATAGT